TTTTTTTTCTTAAATATTTGAGAGGCACTTGAACATTCTTGTCTTGGAAGATGTATAAGGGCAAAGACAGATAAACAGCGAAGACCAAGTTAATATGCAATTACAAAAGGAGACCAAAAGAGCTTTACTCATTTCACCAAAATGAAGGCTTATAGGAAAGTTGATCATTGTCTAGAAATATTTAATGGGGTAGGAGTAAGTACCGGGAAAGGAGCAAAGCAGTTGAAGCAGAAGGACAATGTTGACATAAAAATAAACAGATATAAACTGCCACCAACAAATTTAGGCTGGAAATAAGGAAAAAGCTTCTAGTCAACAAACAAATAAGGTTCTGGAACAGTCTTCCAGTAGAAATAATGGGGGCAAGAAATCAATCTATCTTTAGGAGGATGGAGCTTGGTAATTTTATAGAAAAGTTTATTATGAGTAGCCTACAATAGCAAGGCACTAGACTTGATGACCCATCATGTCTTTTCCAGTCCTCTGTTCCTAATTTTTACCAGGATTATTCCTGTAGTCTCAAATAAGTCCATCTCAGCATTCAGAAAGGTAAATTTAATAAATTTTGAGAAGAATTTCTGATGGGTAATAATTCAAGATAAAAAACAGATGAAAGAGCAGTTTAGGATCTTAGAATAGAGTCCTAAATTCAGGAAATATTTAGTTTCCTATTAAAACTAAATTGGAGAGTACATGGCTGCAGTTTTTTTACTTCACCAAATCAGATTGTGCAGTGCACTGTCTCCTGGTTTCACTGTCATAATTTTTCCCCATGTTAGCAATACCAAAACTGAATCTTTTTTTTTTTTTAATTGGAACAAATGTAAGGAAAGCTTCAGGGCCAATGACATTAAAACCAGTACATGATGGCACTGGAAAGAACTAAACTTATGGAGGGCTGGTGCTCTGAAGGTGTCAGTTGCTCTCCCACTATGTCCGATGATCACACTTTTCGGATTCCCGCCTTGGCTGTCCCCTGAATAACTTCCTTGGGTGCCAGAGTCTATGTTTGGCAGACAAGGTTCCTTGGGTGAATTTGATATCTTTTATTAGACCATAATAATAAAAGGTATCCAATTCACCCAAGGAACCTTGTCTGCCTATGTCCTTAGACCAACATGGCTACAACCTAAACCCCTGCAAAGTCTATGTTTGTATTATGTGAATAATAAAATAGACCAAGGCAGTGGCATAAACTGGGGAAGAAGAAAGGTGGCATTCATGATCACAGCAGCAACCAGAAGCTACTGCTGCTGCTTTGCTTTGGGCACCCAGCTGCATTCTTTTGCTGCTGGACCAAGGACTAGTTCGTGCAAAGTATTGACCCCACTGGTCCCAGTGTAGCAGAGTGCTTATGTAATTTTGAGTATGTGCACTCCCCTCAGAAGTCACTGGCATTATTTGTGTGCTTAAAATGAAATATGCATACAGGCACACCAGCCCAAGCCAGCAAAGTAAAGGCAAGATCAAGTCCTACATTATACAAATTTCTCATGATGAAAAAACTTTAGGTCATCAACATCAATGTGGAGTTTGACTGCAGCAAAGCCAAGATTCCATCCTTTATTTGTGACCTAAACTGTATTTCAATTCAGGTCTTCAGTTGAAATGCTATGTGCATACTTCCCTCATACCTCCCCCATAGGAAATTAATCCTTCATAAAAATATCCCATAAAAGTGATTTTTGATGAGAGGTTGAGTCTTGCACAGTGTCAAGTACCTTTAACTCCTAGTGAAAATGGTGGTAGATGGTCAACATTTCATGGGGTGCTTGGTTCTTTGTGGGCACATCTACACGTTGCCTTACAGCAACATTGTTACTGTGCACATATGATGCAGTAACTGCCCATACTGCACTGTACATGTGGTGAATAGTTATTTTTAGCAGCTATTTCGCTGTAGCAGTGCACCATAATGGGGGAGCACACCACTACAGCGAAGTAGCTGTTGGTCACGTGTAGACATCCGTGGATGCTACATTGCCATATCACATTGCTATGGCGATATGGCATCATGTGTAGATGTGCCCTACAACCCAAACCCTTATGATCTCTGAGAAGATCATCATTATGTCACAGGAATTAAATTTATTTAATAAGCTTATGAGCTGAGCTGTCTTCTTGACATTTCAGAATGCTTTTTATTGTTTAGTAGCTTGGGTTGGCGGTATGAAGATACCACCAGTGAGTGTTGGCAGATACTAAAGGAACAATATATTTTAATTAATCTAAGGTAAAGAGAACCTCTAAATTTAAGGTAAAAATAATTACTGCTGTGCCTTTGTTTATCATCACACATCAAAAGATATTTTGTATCACATTTAGAATTACAGTAAAGCAGTGGTTCTCAACCTTTCCAGACTCGAGGGCTCCCGCAGAAAAAGCCAGCACTTAATTTTCACTATATTTTTACTACGGAAAAGTAATAGAGCCATTCTTCTATTGCAAAGAACTTAGAAAGATCATAACAGTTCCCAAAGATTTTAACGCTATGAATCCCTATTTGAAATCCTTAGGTTTATCTTGTGAATCATGTTTGCATACCTAGCAGTGCTAACATTTCATGGCTCCCCACAGCATCCTTGAAAATATCTTAAGTTACCCCAGGATGCCATTGCACCCTGGCTGAGAATCACTGCAATAAAGGTTGAATCAAAGCCAATTAAATTAATGAAACTGTACTCCATTTGAGATTAATACATTGTTATCAACTCATCTTCATCGCATCTAGGAATCTCAGTGGTAAAGCAAGGATTTCTGTTCACAGTGAAATTACCAAAGAATGTGTTACTTAAAGGATTTTAGACTGTTGTTTCTGGTCAAACAGTGACTTCTGGACAATGAGCTATAAGCTGGTATATGTTGACATGGCTCCATTGAAATGGATTAAGCTCAGCTGATATACGTCTCAGCCGAAGATGTAGCACATAGTAAGATGTTGGTATCAGAAGATGTTATGCCAAAAAAACCCCAAAACAGAACAGCAACAAAAACCCTAAAAATCCTTGCAGGGGTGACTGATGCCTCCTAAGTCTGGGGGGGTCACAATTCGTGGGCAGGCCCAAGGGCGAAAGCGCCATATCCACTCCTATACTTCTGTGCCATGGCTTAGTGCCTCTCCCCCAACACACTGCTGGCCTGTACAGCAAAAAAACTGCCCCGTCCTGAACGGTGCTGAGTCGGGGGCCAATCTTGGGCGGGGGGGCACATGCCCCCCCATGCCTCCCCTGCCAGTTGCCTGTGAATCCTTGCATTACCATTACAGTGTTTCACCTCATACATGTGCAATAACTAGATATGATAGATTGAATTCTGAACGGACACTTAAGACTGAGTACCATAGCTTTCTGGTGTGTGTTCCATGTTCACTTAGCCTTATTGTTTAATGAGTAATTAAAAAAAAATATGCATATATGTATATAATTTGTTCTAAATAACATAAATATTAAAAACAAATCCTGCATAGAAATGTATTTTACACCATAAACAGTAATGGTTCCTTTGCAGCAGAATAATGCAAGACAAATAGCAGGATCCATGTTGTAAACATATTTTTTTGTTCATGCGTAGCAGACATTTCTCAAACTTCAGTAAGGTGTTTTAGAAGAAAAAGCCAAAAGAGTAAATGAAGTTAAACCAGGCAGCAAATTCTTACATAACCAATTTGATTAACAAAACTCAAATAAGCCCAGCAATTTCCTGTTAATAATGGGAGGTTTTCAAATGTCAAATCCACCTTCTGAATGAAACTATCAAGGGGTTAGTTCAGGGGTGGGTAAAATGCGGCCCGCGAGCCGGATGTGGCCCACCAGGTTATTCTATCCGGCTCGCAGGGCTCCTAAAAAATTTAGAAAATTAATATTTATCTGCCTCTGGCTGCCTGTCATGCGGCCCTCGATGGCTTGCCAACACTTGGTAAGCAGCCCTCCACCGAAAATAATTGCCCACCTCTGGGTTAGTTAGTACTATCTTTAAAATAGGAATATCATAGCATTTCCACCACAGACTAGTGTACTGTACATTTAACCATCAAATTATAGCTTTAAACCATTATCATTGTTCATTTTTATATTATGTCGTTAGGAAGGAAAATGAAAACACTCATGAGTATCTAGAAGAATTTGTAGTCTATCTTAAAAATACTGTGCTTCCACTTTTTAAGACTGTTTTTGGAATACTAGAATTTTGAAAAAGGAACTTTGCAGTAGATTTTAGAATTGGAGTATAGAAGCCTTATAACCGGGGTAGTCTTTGTTATCGCACAGAGCCTCCCCACAGTATAGGACAGCTATTTCACAGTATTAGAAAAGTTTGCACTTGAAACTCTGTACAGCTTTATATGATTGGGCAAATGACTGCAAATGATGCCAGTCTCTCTTTGGCATCCATATAAAGCTGCCAATTCAGGATTGAGATTCTGTTAGTAGAATATGTTTACTTTGTATGTGTAAATGGATATGAAAACCATTTGGAAAATCATTATTTTTGTATTAGCTATAACCTTTAAGTAAGCTCTGATAATGTTGACATACAAGGAACAATAAAATTGTTTTAAAACTTTTGTTCAGAGATCAGCAGGGGTTTTTTTCTTTTTTTTCAAGTTAATTTACTAACAAATTAACAGAACTGTTTTTAAGCAATCTTTTGGGATTCTTTGTGCAATATAGTGGCATTTAAACTTCACAGCAATGTACCCTGAAATACATGAAACCATCTTAAATATAAAATATTTGTTCCACCAGATACACTGCTGCTTTTTAGAAATGCAAAACAAGCAACCAAACAGCATGTTTCCATTCTATGTGCTTCTCACTAGCATTGCTTGATGATTCACCATTTTTAGTATTTGCTGTGGCAAATGATTTAAACACCCATTAAAACTAACCAACTTTTTTTTAATGTTATGAAATAACCAGTTCATTTCATCTTAGTTTAAGTCGTTTGGTTTTTTTTTTTCCTTTTTACTGCTGTCATTTTTTGTGCTTGTTTTTTTTCCCCAGTGAGGGTTGTCGACGGGAAAATACAATGAAGAATGTTGGATGTCGCAAGTATGCATTTAATTCCCTGCAACTGAAGGCTTTCCCAAAGTATTACAGGCCTCCAGAAGGAACTTATGGAAAAGTTGAAACATAAACATACTGTGTCCTGTAGTTGCTGTTACATTAAAACATGCGGATATATTCTAGTTTAATATATGAACTTGTCATCAAAACCAGATAAATAATTTTTTTGTACATTTCACTAGATCATATTGAGCATGTTACTTACTGAATTGGAATCTGTAGCAATGATTGTTCTGACACCTTAGCTTGAGAATAGCGTGATGACTCTCTGCCCATTTAAATAGCCTTCAGTGTATGTAAGGTGAATAAATACTGTATCATTGAATTATTGCATATATGCAAATAGCTAGGTATCTCCTGGATGGCAAGGACTTTCTGAATGGCACTTAGGCAGCTGTTTCACCTAACATCTTTTTATACTGAGTTGACTTGAGATTGAACTTTTCATAATACTTTTTAAAACTGTGTGTGAAACCTCAAAGTTGTAAATAATAAAATGACTGGACCCTACACAGTCTGATAATTGCAGAATGCATTGTTACAATCCAGAAACAAAAGTTTAATTTTAAGAAAAATCTCAGCACAATCAAAGTCAGGCATTAAAATGCTTTACTGTATAAATAATGCCACCTTTCCTGTAGGAGGCCATTAGTGTATAATGCCAGACGCTTTATGTGAAGCCTTGTCCCATTTCAAATGAAGCCAAAATTTCCATTCCTTTCACTGGGAAAGGAATGGGTTCTCAGTTGCCTGATTTATTTTCAGCATTTTTTCAAACATTTATGTTATGGCACTTTCTTAGCTGCTAATGCCAACAAACAAAATGCTAAATTTCAAATGCATTCTCATTTTCCACTACTGTAATTTATCAAGCAGCACAAGAAGCAAGCTGACAATGTTACACAAAAAATGCTCAATAATATCTGCATTATTGTACAGTCAGTAACACATTTTCCCCAGGGCTTTTTATATCACTTCCAGGTTAATAGTATCTGATTTTTTTGGTGTCGTTTCCAATACCTGCCAGTGCAGCAATGCTGTATAAATGCCCATTGTTCCCAAAAATTCCACAGAAAAATGTGTTTCTGTTTAGTTTTGCATTTTACCCAGCTGGGCTCTGTCAGAATGACAGGCAGGGAATAGGAGTATCTTGCAATATTTCTGATTACGGTAGGGTTGTCCTGTTTTGATACAAAATAACTGTTAATGCTTTTAAGGGCATACTTGTTCCATCTCATCATGACTAAGGTGATCAGATAAGTATTTTGAGAAGAAATGTATTTTGAGAAGAAATGTTCAATGGATCTCCTTGGAAACAGACTTTGCCAGGTTATAGAGTCCAAAAAAGAAGAGGAAACATGAATTTTCCAGAATTAACAGAATTCATCCTCCCTATTGTCACCGATCCCAGCATACAGCATTTGAAATGTCTACCTCTGTCCTTTTGGCTTTTAACCAGATAGGCCTGAGAATGAAAAATCTAGGGTTCAGTTTATTCTTAACAGAATAGCAACAGCCCAGTACATATATGACATTTTCCCTTCTCCCTGGTGTTTATGTTCATGCTTTTGCTGTTCTATTGATCATGTTCATTAAGCTCCCAAAATGCGACCTGCGGGCCAGATGCGGCCCACCAACCCATTCTATCTGGCCCTCAGGGCCCCTAAAAAATTTGGAAAATTAATAGTTATTTGCCCCTGGCTGCCTGTCATGCGGCCCTTGATGGCTTGCCAAAACTCAGTAAGCGGCCCTCCGCCCGAAATAATTGCCTGCCCCACCTTAGGAACTCTGCAAACTCTGTTTTCCTTAATAAAACAGCCTGGTGGGGTTGTGTTGTGTTATATTGTTTTGGTTTTTTGACAGGATGTAAAATTTGTGGTGAAAAGCCTTTCAGTTAGATTTCTGTGGATTCACATTATTTTCATTCATTTTGCTAAACTTGCTGTCCCTCTTCCATTATTAAATGCCACATTTATTTTGATGTAAACTAGACACTATAGATATCTTAGTTTCTCACTGCTGACACGTAGCTGGCCAGTTTACATTCATATATTTTGATTATGTGGTTAAAATATATATAACATCTTAGCTTGTTAAAATCTTCTTCCACAGGAAGGAAGAATAATACAAGAGGGGCTGTTACAAGTATTGCTGATCTCTTATGTTTTGTAGCCAATAAAAAAAATCCTCTCTAAATTATAGTTATACTTAATTTTGTAAATGCATATATTCTGAATTCCCAAATTCTTTACATGCATGCTTTTTGATCCCCTTTTTTAAGCAGTGGAGCATTAATCTTCTATATTGCATTATTCTGCAGAGAATACTTTGGTTTCCATATACTTCTATATACAATATTGTTACTACATGCACATAAATAGGCTTGCTTAAAGGGCATATTGAACAATAAGATCTTGAGCAGTTCATCAAAAAGAAAAAATTGAAATTTTAAAATCATAAAGAAAACTTTACAGGAGATTTTAAGCTTTTCTGTTGCACAGGAAAGGCAATCTTAAAGATTACTGTAAAATGGAGCTCTGTCTTATGTTCCTTTTAGTACATTTTTAAAATTATAAAACATACTAAGGTAAAAACCTGTTGCCAGGTATGTTCTGTGTATGTTCTGTGAAAGCACCTACAGCACAGTTGCCTTTTGTTTCATTTATATATGTAAAATTATTGTATAATACAACACTGTTTTGTCCCAACACAGTTGTACTTGCCGAGCTTTGTGCATTAAAATATTTTTATTTATTTGTTTTTGGGCAGTATTAATATATCATAAACATGGCTACCTGTTTTGTATATTCCTAGTTCATTCGATCATGTATGCTGTAAATGTGCTAGTCCTTAGAATGAGAAACAATAAAGAACTGACAAGAACCCCATGATAGTGACTTATTTTTAAATGCATCAATTTGTGGTAAACCAAACCAGTTCTTGACCCCCAAACTGGCCTTTCCGATAATATTTATCTGATGGAGAAGGTCTTTACATTTTTACATGAATTACAAAGTATCTGCTTACTTTAAGTCCTGCTAAAACAGTGGTGAACCATGCACTGTAGTTTACAACACAGTTAAACCAGGGATGAATGTAATTCAATATTCTGTGTAGACTTCACAGTGACGTTTAACAGGTAAGTTACATGAGTTATGCTATCCCTCTTTACTGCACAGCTTCTCTTAAAAGTTTCCCAAGGCCATCTTCTCTCTACTGATTGCTTCCCTTCCATTTATAACCCTTTCTTTCTCCAAGCCCATTCATAGCATCTGACAAAGTAGGCTGTTGCCTATGGATGTCAGCCAGCATTCACAGGACCTGGTTTAGGTTTAGATGGTTTGCTTTAAGGTAAGGATCAGTTGATTAACATTGGTTAGGTCACTCTAAACGTAATGCTTGTAGTACCCTATGAAAGCACATGCCTCTCTGAACCACTTTCATTATCACTAAAGTACCATCCTGCTCTACCTTCTGCCTTCCATTTATAGAATCCCTTCT